TTTCTATGGTTCTAGCAAGGTCAAGGCGCATGAGGAAATTATTGGCGCACAGGATGAGCAGGCGCATAGTAGGACAACGTCCAGCGGGCAAGGCGTCGGGGAAGACGGCTGAGGCGCAACTGGGAGGCTAACATTTTTTCATTTATTTTACTATTTATGAATTTTTTAGATTTCTGCTCTTGATAAGATCAATTCCCATTACCAAGAAGCAACAAGCTTGCATATTCATATTGCTTTTCAATTCTCTAGATCTCAGGAGAAGCTCGCTTTCTCACTGACGTCTTGTGATGAGAATTCCTTAGTCCCGATCGCATCGAAGCTGCGATATGACAAAATTCACAACATTGAAATGTGCATTGCGAAAACTTATCTGCAATATCGTCGCCCAAGCGCGTCGCAAGACGACTCAAAACCTTGCAACACTCCCGGGCTGCCCCAAAATGGAACACTCAAATTTGCAGCTTTCACCGTCTGTTCGTCCTCGTCATCATCTTTCTTTGCGAACAGTTTACACCAACACTTTGAAAACAGAACACTGGTTAGCTAGCTGAAAACAAAAACAGAGAATACCGCGTTGCCACAAAAATACCATTCTGCCGAAGACAGTGAATACAGCGACGAACAACAGCGACGAACGAAGACCACAGCAGAGTGAATATAGCAGGTGGAGCAGAGGCGGGAGGGGAGAGCGGCGGCCACGTCAGCCGGGCAACGAGTGGGCTGATCGCATACGCAAGTGAACACTCACTGTCGCCGCAATGAAGCCTCTCCCAAGGCTGAGACTTATGTATATAAAAAATGGAGGAAGAGAGCGTCGCTTCGCAAGAGACCCGAACCCAACCGCAAAAAAACCAACCGTGCCTGCAACGCACAAGCCAAAGAACATTCAGCATGCCTCGAAGTAACTGAAATGGATAAACCTAAATGAAACAATGGAAGCAGAACTACTATGATTGGGAATGTTCGCGATGACTGCAGGGCGTGCATAATTCGCGTCACCGTTTTGAGCGTGCGCTCAGTGCGCTCAGTATGGTGAACTCATGCCTGATTTACTAGTCGTTCGAAACGCTCACGCAAAGTGTAAACGCACTAATTCTTTTTTATAATTGTAGAAGCAGATAGTACATTGATCTCGAAAGCGAAAGTGAAGGGTCTAAGGGCATAGTACCCCTCTACAGCGTTCATCTTTGCCCTATTCTCCTACCTAAACTATAGCACCCACAGTTTTCGACGAAAACACCTGGTAAGCGCTAAAAAAAGTTGTGAAAACCTCATTGGCAGGTCACCCCACTTGTTTAGCGATGTGCGTGCACAGTCGGGATCTTTGCTAATACGAAGGGTGGACTGGGCATGTATTTGGCCGCGGAGTGATGGTTTTTTCGTCTTTTTTTCCTGTTTTTCTGTTTCATGAGTAGTATATACTCCCTCCCCTCCCCAACGCCTCCGCTCGACCAGCAAAATTTTTGAGGAAAAGTAGGGAAGTTTTCGAGAAATTTCGGAAAAAAGTGGCAGGAAGTTGGGGAAAATCTGAGAATTGGTAGAGGGGGGATCATATTGTCTCGCGGCTTTTCCTGTTTCACATGTGCTATTCACCCCTTCCCCCCCCGCTCGACGGTTCGATCCGATGAGGAGGGACAGAGGGTTGGAGGGGGAGGGGTCGTACGGACTCGACTAAAATCCTCAACTAATGATGTGCCCTGGGACGCACAGTACTCCTTTGGGTGCTGTTCTGGTATTATTCGGCGGATTCGTCCGACTGGAAAGTGTCAGGACCAGGAGAACTCTTATAACTCGACTCGAACGCTAAATTATGCAATTATTCAGGGCATCCGCAATTCTGCAATGTCTTCAACAACACTGCGTCCAGACGAGTAGCGCCACTGGCCGAGTTCTACGTCCTAAAGACAAGCCATTGCTCATTCTATATCTGAAGAACATAAACCTTCCTGCTCCAGATAAGGTGAGACTCCAATGATCTGTGATTCCTATAGCTTAGGTTCAAAAGAACCACTGGAAACATCTCTGCTTTTAGTACGGCACGAATGAAATGTTAGCGTTTCTGCATCAATTGCTCACCTATCACGGCTACTATGATGATCATTTGGATTGGATAGGGTTGGAAAACGTGCAGGTACGTTTTTCGCATAATTGGTCAGCGGTCTCTTGTGCACGTATTACATAAGATGCAGTTGTTCCACAAGTCGTGGATAGAAAAAACGCGCCGATCAGGAAATCCAAGGTACGGCAAACCTCAACATGTGCGCGTTTCAAATGATTTCAACTTCCCCCGTGTATCCCTATGTAGCATGGGCAGAGTCGCCCAAGGCAAGGTCGTGGCGTCCCTTGCCAGTGACAACCAGCTTTTCTGTCATGGTGCTACGCTTGTCCTTCCGAATTCAGCTCCTACTCGAGCGCGAGCTATGAGTCACCACAATCTGTTTGGGCAAAGCTAGCTCGGTCACTGTGCTATCCTCATTTGTGCGCTTATCCCTCTCAATACCGTAGAGTAGATGGGCATGCAATGATGGAGGCTCAATGGTGGGCTTGTGTGTGCAGGGTACAGCATCGTTGTGTGAAACACATGGAGCGGGTCGTACTTGGTCGTTGGGGAAGGGGGTCGTATTGGTCGTTGTCGGGAGAGGGGGTGGCTTTGATAGAAATCTGCTCCGTTGGGAAAAAATTTTCCCCGTTTGTTGACATTTCGCGGTTTCTCTCCCATTTTACTCTTTTCATATTGGCTATATACATAAACCCGCTTCCCACCTCGGCAGCAAAATTTTTGGGAAGAACAGGAAAATTTTCCGAAAATTCTGGAAAAAGTGGTAGGAAACTGGGAACTTGTAGGAAGGGGTAGGTAGGTGTTGGGGAAGGGGGGGGTCGTACTGACACACGAACGATGTGATACAGTCTTGTCGCTTGACGAAAAAAAAGAAAAAACGAGTTGGTGTCGCGCCAAACGCCGTTGACCTGACATGCCCCCATTCGCATTCTAGAATACTGTGAATCTTGCTGAAATGAGTTTTACCCTTTCCACGCCCTCCAATTTCGAGATAGAGATTTAGCCAAAGTACCATATTCCAGATAGTGGCATCGATGGCGCCGTCAGCAACACAGTCTTCGATACCTCCTCGATTGATGTCCCTGATGCGAACGATCACCATCGGGTATCCATCGGAACAGAACCTCAACGCTATCTATTCCTCTTATCTTATGCCAATTTTAGAGGTATGCACTACCATAACTTTCTGTCCGGAATGCTTGTCCAGCTTAAAGCCAGATTGCACTTTGATGGAGGGGTGGGGTCAGGCCTACACTGTGTCTCAATCAATGTCGCGCTACTCTTAGCCGCCTCAGCACGGCGAGGCGTACCTCTGGAGACTGCAGTAGTGGGCCTGACTCCGCCCACGCCATAGATAGTGACTTGCATTTTCTGAACTAATTTTTTAGGCTCCTCTCGGCTCATCGGCTCGTGTCGAGGCAATGGCATCGGTGATGGTACGACTTTACGAAGAAGTTCGCTCCAATTTCCGCCCTGCTGACAGAGGTTATTTATAACAAAATTCAAAGAATTACCTGCTTACCGCGATACCGAGGTAGGGTGGTGGAAAGTGACCCCGGGGGTCATATGGGTGGTTTGTAGATTTATTCCCGGACCATCTGCTTTCGAAGACATAATCGTTTTTTTAATCTTGATCCATGGCGCCGGTGGATTGATAGCACTTTTAACGAGAAAAAAACACTGATTTTGTATCACAAGAGTGCTGAGTTATGGGCGAATGACAGACCCCAGGTGGGGCTCGAACCCGCATCTCCCGCTGACTGGCCGAGTATCCCGACTCACTTGTACATCAGATGAATTCTGTTACTCACTTAAATTACGGTCCCAAGTGGAAATCGAGAACGCGGCATTCCAGAAGAGGCTATAGAGGCTCTTCATGTTACTTTTTTGGAACTATGGCAACGACGTCGCGCACTGTTTTTTGATGCTCCAAAGTTCTCAAGACTGCTCGCCTCAAGTGACTTCTCAAGACATGTCGGTTCTAGGTCACTACATCTTCACACCAAGAGATCTGACAAAGTGGACACTGGGAACGATGCGGCACGAGTTGACCAACGAGTCAAAGGTACTTGAAGTGATAGCGTTCGAGTCAAAACGGATCTTCAAGGATCGGTAGGTCTATGTTCTTCCTTTCTTTCGAAGCACACTCAGAGTTGAGTTGATGGGCGGGAAGAGTCAAGCATTGTGACTTCTTCAGTGGTGCTCCTCTCCCTTCAGAAATGGCCAGTAGGAGGAGCGCTGCGAGAGGAAAGCGCAGTTTTGAGTCCGATACACCCACACACTTAGCGTATACCAGCTTTTGAGCTCCATGTAGACCGCATTAGTCATTGTTGTTGTGCCCACTGAACAAGCCCTAATCTACCCCCACAAAATGCTCAGTTTCAGATTGGCGACAGAGGAACACCTTGTCAAGTTCGAAGAGTTGTTGGCGTACGTAATTCCTGCTGCGCGCAGAGGAGCAGGTATCTTCCTCAAACAGTATTTTGATTCCTTTTTTAACTCGTTCCTAGAAATGGGCTGCGCTAGCCAAAATGCATGCACTTGATAGTCCACAATAATTGAGTTATGAGCTGCTCCTTTTCCCCGGAGTACAGCGTAGCGATGGACGGAATGGTGGTGTCTGTACAACCCTTCTTCCCAGGTTTTCTCCTGAGGTGCGACTCCTTGTCTTACCTAACATATTCCTAGATTCACTCAACTCCCTACCATTTCCAGAACTTTCCCTAGGAAACTGCCGTTGGGCTGGAAGAGTGCGCGATATAGCGCGCAGGAAGCGTGAGAACAATCGAGAAATTCTCTCAAAACTCAGGAAAATTTCGCCTAGGCCTGTAGACTATACCCATAGGGCTACCCGGAACATTTTGGCATGGGATTCGGGACTGGCGCAAAGAGCCATAGTAGAAAAATGTGTAGTGAACACTGAAGGGACGTAATAAGCCCCCAGTGATCGAATGAGAACTTTTAATAAACGGTTATAAACGTACCAGTACCCAAGCTAAGCCACGCGATTAGGTGTGGGTCAGGAAGTCCAAGTTGTAGCGGCAAAGCTGAAGCGGCTTTGTAAATGTCGTTGCGTGCATGACATTCGCCTAAAGTAAATCGGGACGGGAGCGGATGCAATATTGCGAATCAACTGGCCAAGAAACGCCACGCACTTAGCTACTTTCATATTTCGGCACAACTCGGACCCTTTGACCCACACAAAACTAGGTCGCTTATATTACCGAAGTCTATAGCAGCAACTTGTGTATGCATTTCAGATCAAGTGTATGTAACCAACGGGTACTGTGGTGCCAGCCCACAATATCGTCGGTTTACCGTTGGTTCCACATTCGAAACGCGATTATCAAAGTTTACTCCAGAAGGCTGTCAATCGATACGGTACGTTAATCCAAAAAGACGTGGTCCAGTATCCCAGGAGGGGCTAAAGCCAGCGGTTTGGCACTCACATCATTTCCTCAT